AAAAAAAAAAAAAAAATTAAAAATAAAATAAAACAAAATTTTTAGATTACCAAAAGCCATCATACACTTTTTAAGCATTACTGAAGGAAGCAAACAGGATTACTTAGAGGATCATTATCAACTGACATATTTTATAGTTATAAAAAATAAAAAATAAATTTTTTCTTTTTTTTTTTTTAGGATATCTGTGCCATCCGATATCAACTAAAGGAACATGACAGAGTACTGACACCACTAAAGTTTGTCATAATTAATTCCACTGTTTGAAGTTAGTGGAGAAAGTCCATCATTAGAAAATCATTATTTATTTTGTGTAATCGCCATGCACAATTTGACTTTCATACGGCCCTTTTATTGTTGTAACCCTTATCGATATAACATCACATCCTAAAACATCCTATAAAACAGACACAATAATATCTTATTGTTTTTTACGCTTATTAAACGGGAACTTTATTTTGAGCCAAAATTTAGACTAGTGAAAGCAAAGCGAAGAGGATAGCGCTTTTGACTAACGCCACAAGCTACCGTATCGCCAACTCGACGAGGACCAGAATTGCCATTCAGCAGGGGCAATAAAGGGGCCAAAATAGAACAGTGCGAATATCAGTAAAAAGCAGTCGGTTAGCTATCACGATTCTTGAAGAAAAGAAAAAAAAAAATAAAACAGAAGAATTATGAGAAATTATTAAATGAATCCTGAATGCCACTATTTTAACCTTAATTTATCAAATATTTTAACTGTTTTACAAAAATTTTTTGAGTACTTTTCCCTCTTCCCAGTTTATGCAAATTGAAAAAAAAAGTGACTCGAAAAAAGACTAAAATTTTCACGAAGAAATTTATGATGTTTAGTTTCAAAAGCTGGAAAAATTGTGTATGAAGGTGTTCAAGGCTGGGCAAGGCATCGAATGCACACCGCAATCGCACAGCCGGCCAATCATTGTCAAGCACTGCCTTGTTTAACCACGCCCACACGGGTGATTGCGCGTGCAGTGGAGCGGTAGCTATTGTGTTCGGTTTGTGGAGTGTAGTGAGCGTAGCTCTCTCGCAAAACGTCGTCAGTGCGTGTGTGAATCCTTGGTCGAAATTTTTTTTTGCTGTTTGTTGAAGCCTTTTGATTGAAAATTTTTCATATAACTTCTAAAGCTGAGGACTTCTGTTGGCGTCATCCGCTGCTCGTCATCAGCGCCACCATTAACGTTGTAGTTCTGGCCGTCGTTTGGTGGTTACTTTCAAACTGTTTAAATCTTCAGCACACTAATCGCTGTATTATTACAAATATATTCAATTTAAATACTGAAAGCGAGAGAAACTGGAGCATTTTTCATCGTTGTGCTTCTCGCAATTTTGCAACTTATTATTACTTTCTGACTGACTTTACTGTTGCTGTTGCTGTTGCTGCAATATTTGGCTCCACCCTCTCAAATCTTTGGCGGTTTTTCTAACCTACTGTTGTCTACTGTCTTATTCATTGTAATCACCTGCCTAGGAGTTCCAGTCTGTAGAGCTCAAACAATTTATTTGATAACTTATAAGCTGTTTATTTTTTTGAATACGGTGTATTATTTCCGAAAGAAGAAAATTATTTTTGTCACTTTTTTCAAATTAAATCATCTTCGTAGTTCATCAGTATTTAGTTATAATGATGATGATGGATAATCAATTAAAACCTCCTTCTGCGCTTCATGAACCCTATCCGTTATACATGCAGCCAGGTTTTTCAATGCCTCCAACTTCCACATCTTCTATTCCGTCTGAAGACATTGATCCGGAATCTCCTGGTTCTCCAGGATCAAAAGAAAAGAAGAACGAGGACCGTGTTAAAAGGCCAATGAATGCATTTATGGTCTGGTCTCGCGGACAGAGGCGGAAAATGGCTCAGGAGAACCCAAAAATGCACAATTCAGAAATCTCAAAACGTCTTGGACATGAATGGAAGCAGCTTAATGAAACTGAAAAGCGACCATTTATTGATGAAGCGAAACGGCTACGAACAATTCACATGAAAGAACATCCTGATTACAAATATCGTCCTAGACGGAAGACAAAGAATTTGCCCAAGAAGAATGGACTCCCAATGGGCACTTCATTTTTGGATCCGATAAAGTCGCAAAATTTATATCAGCCAATGGCTACAACGTGGCAGCAGCCAGCTATTACCTCTGTTTCTACGGCACCTTACGGCTTTGACTCGTATAACCTGTACGATAGAAGTGGTTATGAAAATATGATTGGTATGCCATATTCTTTGAATGGTACTGCTTCGCCTGGTCAATATGCTCAATCTTCAGCATCTCTGGCTGTCGCTGCCGCAGCACAGTACCAGCAGGTTGCAGCAGCTCAAGCTCAGCAACAGCAGCAGCAACAGCAGCAACAACAACAACAACAGCAACAGCAGCAGCAACAGCAACAGCAACAGCAGCAGCAGCAACAACCACAATATACTACTGCTACAGCCTTATTGCCGTTGAAGCAGGAGCCTGAGATGAGTATTCCTTTACAGCATATGCCATGTGAGCCTTTTTTTTAGCTTTTTGACTTCTATTATTTTTGGAAACAACAATATCAGAAGCTTCAACAGTCGACCTTTGAAATTTTGATTGTTGTAATTGTTGCAACAATGACACTTTTTTTTTTGCTGAATTAGGTCAGTTAGGATGATAGAAGTTAGAAGAAGATGTAAAAAAGTGGTTTTTTGGAAATTATATTTTATTTTCTCTCAAAAAACTTTTGATTTTATTGTTTCCAAATAGTTTTATTGATAATCTTTATTTTGTTCATTGATTTATATTCTATCTGATATGTTAATGATGTCTTACGGATTCTGAAACGGGCGTGAAAAAGAAAAAATAAGTTGTGGTAGACAAAGTTAATACAGAGTTCATTAAGTGGCAAACGTCGGTCAGTTTTCTTTTCAGTTGAGTTCTCGTGCTATAGTTGTATTTTTAAAAGCATTGGCTTATAGCTGTTCTTAACGAAATCATCACATTCTTAAGTAGGACTCAAAAGAATCTGTGATTTTTTGTATAATGTTATGTAGTTTGCTCGTAGAACGTGGTTCTTCTAGCAGAAAAAAAAAAAA